TTACCAACGTTTTTCTACCCAGTTTTAATAAACTTGGTCTATGATTTTGCACCGAAGTAAACAAAAGCCGCTTCTCATTTCTCGCAACACACTGTCACTTGCCTGTATTATCAGCTGTAGCTAGCTTTTGAAGCTAATATGAGGCTCTATGAGTTGGTCGGAAACTGTCTCTGGCTCTTGCTGCTGACTTATTTTAAAACAAGAATCTTGCAAAAAGGGGTCTTAAACGTGACTTCAAAGCTTCATACTTGAGCTAATAGTGGATAATGCTACATGTCACAAGGGGAACATCATTTGTGGATAATTTGTGTCGGTTATTGCCGGGTAGAGCCTATTAGTGCTAGTATTTAAGATATAAAAAAATCTATATGTGATCACATACTCAAATCCAATGAAAAACAGGACAGCTGCTAACGTTGGTAAAGAATAATAGAATAAAAACATTTATAACTCTTGAAATGCTGAGTATTGCTCAGACTACAGCCTCATGCTCATTGCTTCACATTTTGTAGAAATCCAAAGCTTGATGCTAAGCTGTGATTGAACACTTTATGTTCAGGGGAAGGGGGTTTTACACAAATTGTCAATTTTGAGATCAACAAATCAGCCACAGCGAGGGAAGCATTTCCTGTGAATTATCCAACACTCACAGTCATAATCCCAGAGCAGAGCTCTCCTCCCTGTGCTGGAGGAAGTGCAAACAGTGTTTAAAGAATAAAAGAACAAACGGAGACAAGTCATTATGTTTGCCATTGTGATCCGTAATTACATAAAGAATAAGCCGAGTGACTTTAAAGCACAATCTCTCACAGAGGCTTGGAGAAAGATAAGGAGAAAATCAGCAGCCAGACCCAGACCTGCAGTCACATGTAACGGCTGTGCAGAGGACGAAATCACACAAAAAAAGGCCATAAACTAACTTTAACATTTAAAAAAAGCCTCCACACTGAATCATTATGCACCATTTGACCAGACTTCTTCTTTATTTTCAGTTGAAATGTAAAAAGAATGCATATTTTTGCTCAACCTTTGCACAACTCACTGCTTTGAACATCTGAGCTGTCTCCATTGAGCAAAATTGTAAGTAGTTTGCTATGGAAAGCAAAAACAAACAAAAAAAACATCCAGAAGTGTGAAAGTGTGTGTGTGTGGAAACAACACACCCCGCGGCTCGGTATCACTGTGTAGTGTTATAGCAGTGTATAGACCCTGAACAAATATCTCTATAAATATGACTCCGTGTACTATTGATGGTCACAAAGACTGTAAGTGGAGCAACTATTTTTATGAAATGCAACACTATGGATATATTAACTTTTGCAAAAATCTTGTTTACCTGTATGATACTCTGAAAAGCTGTCAAAATAAAGGAAAATCTTGACACAACATGAAAGAGTTATTTGGGACGAGCTGCTGTGTGATTAATTATGGGTGTTTTTTTATTAAAGCGTACACTTAAAGATAACATTGATATTCTTCACCTGCCCTGTTTAATACTTATAACCAGGATACACCACACTATGATGGAGTTGTGAACTAGTTGTTTCCTCAGGCTGAGACGTACTAAGGAGCCTCATGTTTAAAATAGATGGAGTGCCCCTTTAAGGTTTAATATATCTCATGCCTTTTTTCAGTGGATATAGTTTGCCCTGTTGTCAAAAACTTTATTAACCAATTTCTGATGAAATATTTATTTTATTTTGAAATGTTCTCATAGGCAAGCCCTTAACTGAGCACACATTTGAAGACATTTCCAAAACTGGTCAACCAAGAAGGATGAAGAGTGCATTTTTTGATCATACTATATTTGTTAACTTTGGGCACAGATAGAACTAATGTTCCCATGTGCCCAAAGACTAAATATAGTAAACGATTTCAAGACTTTAGAGCAAAGCGAACAAGCATTTCTCCTTACTACATGTTTTACCATTTTAATATTAGACTACAGTATTCTGATTAAACTATGATGCTTCTTGTATGAGTTCACAACTTCATTATAATCTGTTAAAAACATTTATCAAATGTATACTGTATTTACTTCTTAGAAATTTGACATACGGAAGTGTCCTTTTTAAAATCTTAGTTGTTTTGTATTTGTATTGTAGTGCCACTGTTTGGCCACATGGGGACATATCATAAGCCAAGTAGTGAAGAACAGAGAATAATACTTTTATTAGGAATTGGCCCTAATAACTTGATTTGCTCAATGAAAAAAAAAGTTTTATATGTAAAAATATTTTTATTGCTGATATATTACTCTCAAACATATTCAGGTTGAATAGAAAATCCAATGCTTCATGCTTTCTGGGTCAATTCTCCGTATCTCCACTCGAGGTCAGTATAGACCAGTCTTTTGTTTTCATGGTGTTTGGTTTCATAATTCTTGAACTTACATAAAGTTGTTATTAGGGTTGAAGGTATTTTATAATGCGATGTTGTGAGTTTAAAAACCGGAAAGACATTTATATGATCTTGAATCTCTTTTGCAGCTTCTGGAAATTGAAAGACACTTCCTGCATTTGATATTGAGGTTTTCACACGTACATCCTGTTGCAATACATTTGAAAACGTGAAATTCAGATTGCATTTTCTGTCATGATGAATAGGATTCTACATTTAGGCAAACCGTAGACTTGATTTGAAGTATTCTAAGTATGGCTCTGCTTCTGCTTTGCCTTATATCTTATTGTGAACACTATATCAAACTGCTTTTCCTTTATCAAAGCAAACAGACTAAAGAAGCACAGGGTGAGAGGACCACGGGAGGGGCAGAAGAAGCAGCTCTCCTGCAGGGGTCCGCCCGGGGGGGGGTGGCTGCCTGGTGCCTGCTGGAAGCCTCTGGTGTTCTCCGTGGGGGGAATCAATCAGAACTGAAGTCATGTCAGCATCTGAGAGAGATGCAGAACAGAACAGCCTGAACACTGTTGTGCTCCTCCTGAAGAGACACTGAGGACACTGGAGCTGCACACAACCTTCTTCTACTTGTTTACTCATTGTTCAAATCAAGTAAAGTATACGTTTAATGGCATATACAATGACAGCATCCTCCCTGACTTTCAGGTAATCAAATGATGAGCATGGTGTTACAGCACCTTTAAGAGTTGAAATGTTAATCTAACATGCACAAATGTTAACCCATATGGCTCAATGGCCTGGCTCTCAGTCCAATATAGCACACACACTGCCCTATATGTGTCTCCAGAACACATAATCACACACTAATGTTATTAACAGCGGACATGGATCACATTAGTTGCTTGTCAGCATTTGATGGATTGCTTCACCTCTTCCTCCGACATCTAGTGCCCCTTCACTGAATTGCTTTTCATCAACACAGAACACATTGCCGGTAGAATAACTGCAGAGACAATGGATTCATCCTTCAAGAAGACTTCTCTGTTTGGCACTAAAAAGAAAAGGTTAACAGCACCTCTTGTGATCAGGGGCTTCAGTATAGGTCTCGAATTGCCTTGCTTTCAGCTGGCAGCAACCTTATGCTTTCCTCTGAAGTGAGACAGTCATTGTTTGCCTGCAAAGAAGAGTAGATCCCACATTCACCTCATTTGCACTGCTTCACCTGAGGCTATGTTGACAAAACAGGAGAAGTATTTTCCCATGCTGTTATTTAACCAGATTTTCTGAGAGTAGGAAAAAGAATCAACTCATTTGGGCGCAGCACAGACTCTACAAAGTTCATTCATGCTGTGTAAACATAAAACACAGTAATCAGTATTACATGTTTCAAATGTGTCCCTAACTCTTTGTAAAACTACCTCCATAGAAGACAAACATTTTAGGTTCAACAAGTAGCTGAACAGCAATGATTAGCTGCAGAAGAGGCTGTGGGTGGGCCTGTTGGTGTGGCATTATTTTTATTTGTTTAAATTGAGAGAGATCGTCCTCTTAAAGCAAATCCTGTCATGGCCACTTTGAGGTTCATGGTTCAAAAGTCACATCATGCTCTGTTGGCACATGATCACATGCAAACCTCTTATACCATCTGCAGAGGTCATTCTTTCACTGCTGTACGGATTGTTATATAATTATTCTGTCGATTATATTCTGTTCAGATAGATTTAACTCTGTGCCTTTCAGCCTAGTGCATTGCAATTATGACTTGGAGTCGTTATTAGAGCTGTAAGATAATGGCACCAACTGGAGTTTTAAGTGTCCTTCAGGCAACAGGCTGGACCATATAGTGATGCCTGGTACTTCAAAACATTAATTATGCATCAGTGCTTTGCAATGGGGAAGGGGAAATGATTGGTCTTGCATGGTTTTTATGTTGATGTCAATAGAAGGGGTCTGTCCTGACACGTTTAGCTGCAGAATGAACAATGGGTTCAGGTTAAGAGCGATCAATGGACAATCATTTTGGAGATAATTTGTGAATTGTTTCCAATCATTTAGAGACACTTAAAGTGTGTCATGTCATTAATTAAGCATGCATAATGTTAACTCATTGTATTGAATGTTTATTTATTGGATTACAGTATATATTTAAAGTATAAAACCACAAGAATAGGCTGTCTCGCCATCATCCTTACTGTATACTGTATATTCTCTGTTGTTTTGCTTTATGAACTAAAAAAACAGTTTGAAAGTATTCCTTATTCTGTTAGCATAGGCTCTTAATTTCCTATTATCAATGTCATGCATTCTTCAAGCTTTTGCATGATAATTCTAGCCTTTTAAAAGAAAATATATTGTCAAAACTACATTATGTTTGTTTTGCAATATCAACATGTAAACGTTATGTTTCGGTAATAATACATATATGTGTGTGTGGGTTGGAAAATACCTGATTTTTTTTATTGTGATAATTCGTGATTAAATCGCTTTTAAACGAATAATATATATCTATACGCTACGTTCATTTCTCAGATTTTGAATGAGATTTTGGCGTGACGTTCGGTCTGCACTCGACTGAACGGCGTGTGTATACCGGCGGGAAGAGGGGAGGGCCCACGCGCGGGCTGAAGCTCTCTCCCCACCCAGTGTCTCTCTCTCTCAGTGTGGCAGTCTGTCTACCTGCTGCGGACCCAGACAGGCAGGCAGTCCGGAGCCGTGGAGCTATCCCAGCAGCCAGAGCCCAGGGGCGGCCGGTGGGAGGAGGCAGAGAGTCCGCAGCAACACTCAGCCTCTTTGACAGCCGTCGGAGGAAGGAGCCACCTGCACCAACACATGTCTACGGTAAGAATTATTGTATTCCTTTAATTTAATGTATTCAGGATGTAAATATGTATTTTTAGGAAGCAGAGAGGTGTCGTGGTACGCCGCTACCGAGGCGTCTTTCTGTGGTTTTGTCGGCTGTGATTGGAGCCGTGGGAGTGGGCATCTCCACACCGGGGCTGGAAACATCTCCCAGCACATACCGCTGGTAAAAAAGTGTTTTTGCTTTTTTATTATTCGTTTGTTTCAGTCTTAAGGTGTGAGTTGAGTAGGGGGTTGGCACGAGGCTGTGCAGCCGCTTCTAATAGCAGGATGGCGGGCGGCTCAGCTCGCGCCGCTGTCAGCGTGCAGCAGCTGCAGGCAAGATAACATAACAGCCGTTAACTAACTCTGACAAAACAGGAAGTACGCGCTTTGACCTTCAAAATAAGATCAGGATAAATAATACATATCAAATAAATATTAGATTAACAACTGAACAATATTGTAGATGCTTTTAGCTTAACCAGTTGCAGTATTAAATTGGTAAAACAAAACGTTATTTCTGATAAAAATGCCCTCACAATTGACCCGTACTCATCTCCACCTTGCCCAAAAAGAGGCCTTAAAAGCAATGGTGGATTCATGCCAAGTTAGTTTGCCTTGTTTTGACAACATATCAGCCTTGTTTCACTAGATATTCCCCCGAAGTAGCAGTATTCTTATACCACATAAACGAAAAAAGTGTTCTATCTATTTCATATTCATAGTGTATTGGGTTTTAACTTTAATGAGTTGTTGGTGAACATATTTCGTAGCTGATAGCTTAAATTGCAAGCAAAGGTATAGTCTGTGCTTCCCGCTTCTCAAATGTTAAGATTTGCTGCTTTAAACTGCGTTACATAATGGGTAGAATTGATGTAAATATCTTGATATGGGTCATCCTGGCCTCTGAATCCCAATAGGTGTTTGAACATATTTTTCTAATGAATAAAAAAACGTTAGTGTATTAATTAATAGCAACAATTGTCAATGGTTGCATAACTAATAATGGAACTCTTTCCTTCCCTCACTTTTTGATTTTATTTTGAAAGGTTTTACCGGAAACTAAATGGTAACAATATATCTTGTTTTGACTGTGGAATGGAGCGTGTTGGCACCAGGTTGGCACGGATTTGTGAACATGTTCATTCTGCTTCAGTGTTTCATAACTGTCACGGTGATGAATAACAGTGTCTGTGACATTTAACGGACAGGGAGCCCCCATGGACGTTCCTCCTGCATGTGTGTGGTTTGAATCACTTCCCTGCTGATAGAAAAGCCATGCTGACTCATGTTCATGAGAGCATTTTGCAACTGGGCAGCAGCTTGTGTTCATTCACATTTGTTCATGTTTTTCCTCTTCTGAGACTACATTGGTCCACATCAGATAACAGATCCCAATTATAAAAGCAATTTCCTTACAGAGAAGATGTGTGTTGTTGCATAATGATTTGTACTTAGGCCACAAATTGACTTGTCACAGTTCTATTTTTAGACTTTCAGACAAGTAAACTTTACAGACTACTACATCTATACCAATTCATTTTTTTGCATTCTGTCAGCACAATTCCACTCAGGGTGTTTTGATGTGTGATCATATCCCTGTCACTATCTCATTTAACAAGAGACAAGATGAGAAAAGTGACTTTCTCAATCAGAATCACAAACAGATCCCTAATTATCATCACGACATGGCCAACATTTTGTTCTCAGATAAGTGTGCACGCACGTTCGTGAATGTGTGCTCGTTTATGTATTTTTTGTGGCCAGAAAGCATTTTAATCTCAACCTTAATTCCTTTCTGGTTTCTAAAGTTGCAAACGTGGCTTCTAAGGAAGTTGATAGTTGACATTGTTGGATTTCATTACAAAAAAAGTCCCTGTCTTATCCTCCGGGTTTATGACATCCTCTCATCTTCATATTCTTTCACAACCCTCTGTGGGTTAGGCTAGGTTAGAGGCTTGCTTTATTTCCTGTCTCCTGTAGCAGGTCTTCATACATTTTGAAACACCAAATAGATGTGTTTCCGCTCTTTCCAGTCATCTTCCCTGCATTTCCATTTACCACAGAGAGTGATAGTAGGCTCAGTACTGATGGGAGAGGAGCTATTTTATTTTTGACTTGCCTCTCCACAGTTTCAGGCAGTTTGAGAGAGTGTGTGATGTGGTTTGGGGACCGCAGTGCGCTTCCTATTCAGCAGATAAACAGCCGCTGCAAGGGTGATGTAAATCTCTTTTTATAGTGTCAGTCAGTGCAATTTTGGAGGGAAACACATATTGAGTACTGCCACCTTTCACAAATGTTTTTCATCCTACCCCATTCAACTCAATTTCTCTGAAGAACTGTATAAACAACTTGGATTGATTTCCTCCCTCAGGGCAATTCTTTGGAGGCCGAAACATAAAACATAAAAACAGTTATTGTGCATTAAAAGGAAGTGAGCTCGCAGCTAACACTTGGTCAAATGACCGTGGTGAAACGTTGTCAGCTAAAAGTCTCTGTTACTTCTATGGTCAAGAACCAATGTTTCTATCAAGAAATGCACTGTGAGGAGCACTGTGATTAGTATGACGTTGAACTTAGGTCCATGTGGGTAGACCAAATATATATTACCTAGATTGGTTGATGGGGGAAATATCCTGAGAAAAATAATAAAAAATGTCCCCAGATTACAGTCGTAATATTATTTTCTGAGATAAATGTGTATATTTACACATTTATCTTGTATTTTATTTATCTAAAACACTACAGCAAGTTATGCAAAACATGTATCTTTAATCTAACATATATTGTATACTATAATTGTATAGTGAATTGGCTACAGAAACACTGGTAGGGTGAAGGCTCAATTCACATGGGTCACCTTGCAATGACGGATCGGGGGTATTCTGATGAAGTGAATGACATTGAACCCCCGATGGACAGTGTGTCCCTGGAGGAGAATGGAGAGCATTTAGAGGCAGTGAGTCACCCAGTGTTGATGAATAGAGCCAATGACCCCCAGATACAGCACAAGGCCACTCTAAGACGTCTTATAAAGGGGGCAGGTCGTAGTCAATAACACGTTTTGATTCAGTTTATTAGGACTATATATAGAACAAGTTACAAAGGGCTACAACAAATCATGTCCTTCAAAAGTTTGTATTGACACTCACTGCTCCACCAGAACAGTCAATATTGGTTCACTTACTACTTATTATAATATTCTACACTATAGCCTGTTTAACCTTGTGTAGCTTTTGTGGAGGAAGTTAATTATCTTGCAAGTGATGAGCTGGTAGGTGTTGCAACATCACTTTCCTGGTTACAGTAATCTGTTGTTGAGTGGAAGAGAAACATGATACTGCAGGTGTGGCCGAGCTCTGAAGATTACACATTTAAAAGAAGTAATGCTACTCAACACAAGGATAATCCTCCCTCGGCCTCAGGGCTGCAATTTCTATCCAATCATGTCCAAATAAACTTGAATACTTGAAGGTTTATCAAATCAAATCAAATCAAATAAAGTTTTATTTATATAGCACATTTATAAACGATTTTTGGTCGAGCCAAAGTGCTGTATATATAATAAAAATAGCCTACAGTAGAGACACTTTACAGCAAATACAACAGCACAGATTGTTCACAATATCAGTATGAGAAAAAAACGACACCCTCTATCCTTAGACCCTCACGTCGTACAAGGAAAAACTTCCGGAGAAAACCCCACAGTTTAAAGGGGGGAAAAAAATGGGAGAAACCTCAGGGAGAGCAACAGAGGAGGGATCCCTCTCCCAGGATGGACAGACGTGCAATAGATGCCGTGTGTAAATCGAAGGGATAATACATTTTACAGCATAGGTAGTCCAAATGTTAGGAAATGCATGTGTCTGTAATAAGAAGATGAATCTACGAAGATGTCAAGCATAATCCTGTGGGATTGGGTTTACTGTATGAGAGAGGTGATTAACCTGATGAGTAACCACCCAGGAGAGGAGAGCAATGTGATGATACGACCATATTCACTAGAAGTGGGGAGAAAAGGCAAAAACTACTATTTGCACTTAGTTTGGGGGTGGCGTTAAACATCTACTCTCTGTGTATGTGGTGGTTTACACATTCTGCAAACGTAAATCAAACTGTATCCCTCCATTGAAGACTTCCCTTTTTGTTATGTGAGAAATGTCATTACAATTTGCAGATCTTAGTCAAGAGGTGACCTAAAAGCGCCATGAAGTGATGTCTTGTGTTCCCTAATGTGATCTTTTGTTGTTCCTGCGACAACCGAGGCCGGAGGCGTTATGTTTTCAGGATGTCTATCCAAGTGTGTCCCAATCTTGTGAACACAAAGTCTCAAGAACGCCTCGAGTGAATTCATTTCATTTTGGCTCAAACTTCCACTTCAACTCAACGATGAACTGATCAATATTTGTTGGACAAAGTTGAAAGTCTTTGTGACCTCATAACACATCTCAAACCCCCTCTCTTTACTATCTGTGTGTCCTTTAAGTCACAGCTCAAGGTCTTTTTCTTTAAAGGAATGGCCTCTGGGGATCATTTGGAGTGATGTTTGTCTTGGACTCCATTAGTGATGTCTGGCAGGGGGGCCCAGCCCGGCTGTGTGTGTCTGGGATGATGAGTTTTGGATGAAGGCCCAGCCCTCCTCTGTAGGGTCAGTGTGGCCGTCAGCCAGGGCTCTGCACAGCCTCCTCTTTAAACCTGACAGTCTTTGCTTTCCCCGGGACCTGAGCATACACACATAGCAGGGTGTTAGACAAACAGAGAGGAGAGGGAAGGAGCTTTTGATCGTGGCATCCTCTACGGCTACGCAGACAACACAATGAATCATAGTATTGGCCGCACAGATAGAGGAGATAAAGTCAGCCACTCCCCAGGCTGCCTTCAAGGGAACCATGAAGCCTTTTGTTAAAGGCAGATTAAAGGCCTTTACAACAAAGCGCTTAGTAAGTTCACTGTCTACAGTTGACTTTATTCTACTGTATTTACTCTGCAGGCCAAGG